TTTAAAAAAAAAATAAAAAAAAGTTACCCCTGTAACCCGAAGCTAAAATTATATTAAATTATTAATTTTTATATTAATTTTCTTATTAATTCCTGCGCTAATTTTTTTATTAATATTTTTAATAAGCTTTAAAAAAAAATTTAATAATTTTTTTAATTTTAGTTTAAAGTTAAGCTTAAATAACTTAAGTTATTATTTTAAAATTACTTTGCCTTTAAAACCTAGTGCTAGTAAATCTAGTTTTAAAAGGTTTAAAAGTTTTAAATATATATAAAAAAGGTATTAAAAGGCTATTAAAAATTATAAGCTTTATTATAAAAAAAAGGCTTTTTAAAAGCTTAAAATTAAGTTTAAAAAAGTTAAAAAGTTAAAAAAAAAAAATATAATAAAGCTTAAAATCTAGTTTAAAAATTTAAAAAATTACTTTTATAATACTTTTAAAAGGTTTTAAATAAATAATAAAAAAATTATATTTACTATTTAAAATACTTTAAAAAATACCTGTAATTATTAAAAAGGTTAAGTTAAATTTTAAAATAATAAGTAAACCTAAAAAAGTTTTAAAAAATTTATATATATATAAATTAACCTAGTTATAAACTAGGGCYATTATATTACTTAATATTTTTTAATTAAATAATAAAATATTTAAAATATTACTTTTTAAAAACTTTACTTTATAAAGTTAGGCCTATACTTTAATAATTTAAAGTTTAAGGTATAAATATTTATTAAAACTTATAATAAAAATATTTACTTATACTTAAAAAAGTTAGAAACTCCCCTAAAAATTATAATTAAAGTAAATATAATAATAATTTATATAAAGTTTATTAATAAGTATAATAAGGCCTTAAAGGCTAAAAAAAAGTCTGGAGCTAGTTTTAACTTTAAAAATAAAAAAAATAAAAATAACTTAAAATAAAACTAAAATAGCGGTAAAGTAGCTTTTTTAAAAAAAAAGAAAAAAAAAGATAAAAAAAAGGTAAAAAAAAAAATAGTAATTTATTTTTTTAAAAAAAAAGCGCTGCAAGAAAAAGGGTTTTTATTTTAATTATAATAAATTAGGCCACTTGTTAAAGGCCTGTTTAAATAAAAAAAGCCTAAAAGAAAACTAGTAAAAAATAAATAATAATCCCCTGGTTTTAAGTTATTAAAATTATATAATTTAAAAAAAAACTACTTTTTTTATTTTTGCGGATCTTAAAATATAAAAAAATAAGGTAAATTAATAATTTAAGGTACTACTTAATATTAAAGCTAATATTAATTTTATTTTAGTTTAATATTTATAAAAGTAAGGTATTAAAATAAATACTAATTATATAATATAGCTAGTTTAGTATACTAATAATATTTTTATTTTTTATTATAGGTATTTATAAGCTTGTACTTAAATTTATAATTTAAAAAAAGTTATAAAAATATTTAATTTAATATATTATATTATTAATTTTATTTATAAAAACTATTAAGCAGTCCTAAAATATCCCTAAATAATTAAAGTAAATTTAAACCTTTATTTTATTATAGTAAAATAAACTTAGTAAAATTATATACCTTTTATTAAAATTAAAATATTATAAAAGTTTATAAAAACTATATATAAGAAACTAGTACTTATAATATTTTATTAATTAAAAAAAAATTAAAAAAAAATAAAGGTGGTCCTGCCACCCTAATATATTTATTAAAGTAAAGTTTTTTTTAAGTAAAAAGTTACTTAACTTTTAACTAGTAAAGTAAAGTATAAAATTTTATTAAAAAAAATAAAAAGCCTTTATAAGGTTTTATTTATAATCTTTTTTAGTATAAGTTATAAATATTAAAAAAGTATTTTAATAAAATACTTAAAAAAAATAAATTAGGCTATTTTAAAGTAGTGCTAAAATACTAGTACTTTTTATTTAAAAACTTAATAAATTTTTATATTTTTATATTAACTATTATAGTTTAAATATAATAATTAACAAGAATTATTATTTACTACCGCGTATTAATAAGCTAATAAATTAATTAATAAATATAAAATATTTTATTAAGCTAAATTTACGTGACATGTATTATAAAATATAAATTAAAAAAAATAAATAAAAAATAATATTTTAAACCTATTATAATTACTATAAATATATAATTATGCCCTTTAGCTTAATAAATATACTAGCTATATTTTAATTTTATATAAATATAGCTATAAGTAGGATTTTTAATAAGTTTTATATTATTTACCTTAATAATATTCTTATTTTTTTAAAAATAAAAAAAAACATGTACACTATATTTAAAAAGTTTTTAATTAATTAAAAAGGCATAATTTATATATAAAATTATTAAAATATAGTTAATATAAAAAAAAAGAGGTAAAGTTTTTAGGCTTTATTATTAAATAAAAAAAATATTTATTAATTTAAACCGCAGCCGGACTATTATTAATTAATTAAAATTAATATTATTTTATAAATTATAAATTTTTTTAGGCTTTATAAACTACTTTTAATATTTTATTTTTAGTTATATTAAAGTAATATGTTTAATAACTTAGCTTTTARTAAAAATAGTAAAAAAATATAAAAATAGGCCTTTTTTATTTTTTATTAATATAAAAAATATATTTAAAAAAATTAAGTTAAACTTTACCAGGCTGCTAGTACTACAGCACTTTAATTTTAAAAAAAAAATTTATTATTATTAATATATTAAGGTTTATTATTACTAGGATTATTATATAGCTAAAGTAAAAAAAGTTATTTAATAAAAAAAAATAAAACTAATAATATTCCATAATTTTTTATTTTTATTAATTATATAAATTAAAGCTTTATTATAAGGTTTATAATTAAAAATTACTTATAATAATTAAATATTTTAAAAAATAATATTATTATTTTAAGGGCTTTTTATACCTTATATACATGTAGTATAATTATAATAACCTAGATTATTTTTTTATAATAAAAGTCTTAAATTAAAGGCAGGTATAATAAATAAAATTACTTATAACTTATAACTTTAAGATTAAGTATAAGCTAGGTAAGTATAATCTAGTAAATATATTATTATAATAATTAAATTATATAATAAAAAATAAAAAGCACTAAGTTAAACTGCTTTTTACTTTATAAAAAAATTAAATTTATTTTCTTAATAAATTATTATTAAAATAATATTAAAAAACCTAGCTATCCCTCCACGTGGTTAGGCTTATAAATACTTAAAACTTTTAAGTTTTAAAATATTTATTATAAAAATAATAAGTAAAAAAAATTACTAGACTAGTTATAAATACCTTTTAATAATAATTAATTATAACTTAATAAAAAAACACTTTTACTAGTTAATTATAATAATAACTTAAAAGTATAATTCTTATTAATTTAGGGCAGGCCTTTTTTATTATTAAATAATATAAAAAAAAATTTATAAAAATATTATTTATATACCTCCCGTGCCCGCGTTATAATATAAAATTATAAAATAATATTATAATAATTTTTATATAAGCTACTTTAGCTATAAAAAAATTATTAAATTACTTACCCGCAAGTTTTAATAAAAAAAGCTTAATAAAAATACACGTGTGTATATTAAAAAATATTTTTTATATTAAAGGTTTAAGGTTTTAAGGTAGTTACCTTGGGAAAGTTTAATATTTTTTTTAATATTAAATATATTATAAAAAAATATTTTTATATACTTTATTATTAACCTATTTTTATTAAAGTATAAAGGGCGTGTTTATAATATAATTTTAGTAATTATAAATTAATTTAATAAAAAAGTAAAATATTTTTTTATTACTAATAAAATTACTATAAAAAAGTTAGCTAACTTATTTATTAAAAAATTATATATAATATAGGATTGCCCCGGAGCATAGTAATAAATTAATATTTATTTTTTATTTTAAAGTATTAAATAGCCTTTTATTAAGCGCTATATATTAAGTAATAACTTAGTATAATATACTATTTTTAATTAAATAATTAAATTAAGTATTAAAATTAAACACTTAAGGTGTATTTACACGTGTATTATAATTATTAATAAAATAATTAAGTATTATATTTATTACTAGCATGCTTTACTTATAATAACTTAAAAAATAACTTAACTATTTATATTTTATTTATAGTAAGCTATAAATAAAAACTAGTAATTTTTAGGCTTAAAAACCTAAAAAAATTAATATTTTATTTTTTTATTAAAAAGTACTTATATTATTTAAAATAGCTTTATAAAAACTTATAAAATTATATAAATAAAGTATAAAAAAGTAAGCACTTTATTATAATTAAAAATATTATTTAATATAATTTAAGGTTAGAAATAATATTTTAATATTTTTAAAAAATATTAAGTTAATATATTTAAGTAAAAAACTTAACCTAAAGTATAATAAACCCTTTAAAATTAAATTTATTATTATAAAGTAGGTATATTAGCTCCGGCTTACTAGTATATATAGTTAGTTAAAAATTTATTTAGTATTTTATATTTTTTAAAGCTATTTATATAGCAAGATAAGCCTAAAGGGGGAAAAAAGTAACTACTAACTACTAAGTTAATTATCAAAAAAAATAGGAAGTTAAGGCTATTTTTAAAAAATAATATATTTATAAATATAATAAATTTTTTATTAAGTAAAAGGGCTGGCCTAGCTATAAAAATTTATAAAAATTATTTTTAATTTTAAACATGTATAAAAAGCCCTGGTAATATTTATAATTTTAAAAATATTATAGAATATTAATAAAAGTATTTAAAATTCTTATTATTTTTAAAAGCTTAAATTATTTATGTAAACCCTAGTTAGCTTTAGCTTTAATATATTATCTTGCTCCTTATTAAATTCTCTAGTATTAGTTTAATAAACAGCTTTTCTTATACAATATTTAGAGGGCCTCATACAGGGGTTAGCAATGAGGTATCCAGTTGATTTTCAATTTATAGATCAGAATATCCAAAACGCTCAGGAACACAAATACGAGACAGAAAAACTACTCCGCCTGATTCAGAGCCTCGATGACCTGCTGCTGATCCGACATTCGCGCACACTCCATAGCTGTTCGGCCATTTGCATCCTTGATACGCCGGTCCGCTCCCTGGCTGATCAAATAGCGAACTGCATCTACGTGACCTAGTTCCGCTGCTTTGTGTAGGGCAGTTCCGAGACCCATAAAGTGGAACAGCGCCCAAGAAGGATAATCGTCGTACATACATGCGTTGACGGGCGCGCCTTTCTCGATGAGCAGGCGTAAGACCGCGACGGTATCAGACTGCCTCTGAACTGCGTGATGAAGGAGCTGGCCCTGCCGAACGTTTCCGCCATGGCTGAGCATGAGGCTGATGATAGGAAGCGGGGCGCTCTCGACAGCAAGAGAAAGCGGGGTGAGATCGATCACACAGCGGCGATTGGGATCGGCTCCATGGCCGAGCAGCCAAGAGGTCATCTCTTCGTCTGCAATGGCGTCGCTGGAAGAGGGTGTGGGTATGTTATTTCCGACGAGGGCTAGAGGACAATGAGAGCGTGAGTCTTACCCTAAGACCGGAGGCCTAAGCTCGCTCACGGGCTGGTTGATGTCCCACCCGCTTTGGATGAAAACATCCAGGGCGCTGGTCGCCTTCGCTTCGATCGCTCGCAAGGCGTAGAGCGGATTCATGGGCAGGCCGCGAGCAAGGAGCTCTTGGATGAACTGCAGGTTGTTCCGTTTGATGGCTTCGACCATGATCGCGGATAGGTCGCATATGTTGAAGTCGCGCGACGAGCAACATGGCGAGTCGAGGGTCTGTCGGAATCGCTGGATATCCCCATTGAGGAGGAAATCATGTATTTGGTCAAGGGTAGCGGGTGACGTGCGGGTTGGGGGTTGAGGGTACTGGCCTGGGCCGATGGGGGGCAGGTCTGTTGGAGGAAGGACATCCATCGCGGGCAGTTGAGGGCGAGAGGCTGCCGCGCGGGCTCGACGGGGTTTTAAAATCGTTGGGTCACCGGACCCCGTGCTGCTGACCAATTGGAGCTGGAGGCCAAGAGCTTAACTGGGAATCCTGCCCTGGATTCGGTTTAGTGCATGCCCACGTAGCTCCGCCCGATTTGGGGTGTTGCATTTAGGGCTTAGGGTACTGCCTGTTTGGGCGACACGCTTCAACGGACTGGGGTATTGTTGCGAGTAGACCTAAAGGCATAAGTAGCGGGGAGACCCCGTCATCTTTTGATTTCCTCAATCAAACTCTCCACTGCAGTTCTTTTACCATGTCCGGACAGGGCATACTTGCTCATTGGGAAGCCGCTGGTGCAGTCGTCGTGGTGCCAATGGCAGACGTGCAGTTTGTTTCTTTTCAACAGATGCCCGCTATTGGAACCAGGAGCCTCGGAGCATGCTCTACCATTGTCATAGCGTCAGCACATGCTGCGATCCTTGCCCACATCCCCCCACACCCAATGCAGCCGTCGCAAGACCCATTTGCCGGCGATAACAACGTCCGTCATATGATGAATCGAGTAGCAGCTCTGTACCAACAAAATACAGCACAGTTTCCCTCGGCTGATACCGTCGTTGTTTGTGCCTGGTTTCGTGGAAATGTGGCCTTGCCCGATCAAATGGAGATTATGCGGTCCTCACTTCGCCAGTTGGGGCTCAATCCGGCCGTTAGAACTTATCACGTTCCTGGGAATCGAAGTCTTCCCGGCCAAGGGACTGTCGTTGCCATTAGGGATGCCAATCATAACAGGACCCAAATATACGTGGAGGATCGTCCGTTATGAAATGGCCTCTTGTTTCGTTGTGTCCTGAGTCGAGGGTTGAATAGCTAAAGCAAGAAGGAACCGATAGCCATGACCTTCCAATCCGGATAAATTGTCCATACGGGGCGCTACTACAGCTCTTCCTCGACTCGCCTACGTTTGCTCTAACTGCCTGGAGCACCCGCTATACACAGTCGTTCTTCGGATGGTTGCACGTGGTGACCTCTAATTATGAATAGTTATGGTTATCTCAATCTAGAATATTTGTTTAGCGGCGACGTAGTCAGTGACATGTTTCTAATACCCCCCTTGCTGAGCTGTTCAAGTTATTCAGCCGCAGGACGTAACAGCTGCTACAGGTTGTACCCTAGCAGAATTACCAGCACAGTCTCCTCCGCCTCTTGTACAGTCGCACTAATATCTCGCAACTTGTTGGGGAATAGGTTTAATCCAGCAAGGAGTGTAACAGTTACAGAGATTCAAAGTTGATTGGTATGCTTGTCGCTAATCAAGGTGCCCCAGGGCATTGTAGAGCGGGTACACGCCGGTAGACCTCGAGGTTCTGAACGTCCCATTCGACCCGGCAGGGTTCCATGAAGGCCAAAAACTGAGGCTTTTCGGTCTAAGATTACTATATATATAGGCCCTTTTATTTATTATTATTATTATATCTTATAATATTTTTTTTAAAAAATTACTAAACTTATTATAGCCTGTTACCTTTATTTTATAAAAAATAATAATAGTTTTACTAAGTGGTTAGTTATAAGATATTAATTCTGGGATGCTAGTATAGCTATAATTTATAATACGTTTTTAAATTAAAACATTGAGAAAAAGTATATTAATCTTATAACAAGTACTTTCTTTTATAATTTTTACTCTTTTACTAATTTTAGACATGCATAACCCGTACTATAAAACCTATACTATTTATACTAAGACCTATAGCAAGGTAGTTTTAGGCTAGGCTATTTTAAATTAATATATAATAAAAGTTTTCATTAGCTTACCTATATAAATTATAGGTTAATAAATAAGTTAATATTTTTTAAAAATTTCAAAAATTTCAATAATTTAATATAATTTTAATGATTTATAAATTTATAAGTTATAATTATTGTATTGTTTCAAAAAATATTAAAAATACCTAAAATTCGGAAAGTTATTGAACTGTGGAGAAATTTTAATTTTTAAATAGGTTTATAGTAAATAAAAAATAAAAAATTTATATTTTTCTATATATTTTAATATTTTAAATAATTTGATATAATGATAATTACAAATTGAATAAAAGTAAAATCTTTATTATGTAATTTTAACTATTCATATTAGGGTGGCTGGCCATAAAATATATATGTATATACATATATATATAATAGTATTTAATAAACTTTTAACTTTAAAGCTTTATAACTTTATAAATATATAATTCTTTTAAAAAAAACTTAAAAATTAATATAATAGTTAGGCTTAGGGCTATAAAAAGATAAAAAAAATTAATTAAAAATATTTTATTTAGCCTAGTTAATAATTAGGGCTTAAAATTTTGTTACTTACTAAAATTTTAGTATTACTAAGTTTTTTATTTTGAAGCTTAATAACTTTATAAGTTTTTAATATTTTTAGCTAGTTCTTAAAATATTATAATATTTAATACCAGGGCTATTTAAAAAACTAAAAATTTATTATTAAGATTTTTAATTAGGCTAGATAAAATATAACATTTAATAATTTATTTTTTAAAGCATAGAAGTATATTACTAAGGCTTTAGTACCTAATTATAGTATGAATACTAATTTTAATTCAAAAATTCTTAAAATTAATTTAAGCCTGTTTAGGTAAACCTATACTACCTATATATGTCTTTAAAGCAGTTATAGATTTAATTTTAAAAACCTAAAACCTGGGTAATACAAACTTACTAAGGGCCCAAGCCTGCCCAAACCTGCACTAAATACATGTCTAAATATATTTTATAATAATACTTAGCTAACCTTACTGAGTTTAATACTTGCTAGCATCTTATCCCTGGCCTTAATATTATTAAGGGTCTAATTATAAGACTGACAAGTCTTGAAGATCTCTACTAATAATAAAGATATTAATAAAAAAATTTAACTAATAAAAATAAAGTATTCTAAACCCCACTAAATAATATTAAAAAAATTACTTAAAAATTTAGAAAGAAGGCTAGCTTTAAGGCTACCTTTATAAACCTTTAAGCTATGCTTAAGTTATTTTTAATTAAAAAATAAATATAGGTTTAAAATTTTTTATATATAAATTTTTACTTAGCTTATACTTAGGGCCTACCCTAGCCTTACCTAATTAATAATTAAAATTTTAAATAATAATAACCTAGTTAAGTTATATAGCCTAATATAATAATAAAATATACTAAGCCTTAGTAGCCTAAGGCTAAAGCTTAAGTTACTTAAAATATTAACTTTAAATTAATAATAAATTAACTTTAATAATATTAAATAAAAAATATTAGCCTTAATAATTTTTTTTTAATTAAAGGGTTGTCCGCGACCCATTATTAAACTAAAAAAATAATAATAAAACACTGTTATTATTATTAATATTAATACTAAATATAGCTTTATTATTACTATTTTTAACTTTATTAAAGTATTATTTAATATATTAAATTTAATATTTTATTCTTATTATTTATAGTGCTTTAAATAAAATATAATATTTATTTATAACTAAAAGGGGAAAAGTAATGCTTTAATAATACCTAGTATAAAAGTATAAATTATAATATAATTTATAATTTTATAAACTTTTAAACTTATTAATTTTTACTAAATAAAAATTACCCCTTTTTACTATAGTTAAAAAAAAGGTTATTTTAGGCGCTGCCCTTGCTTTATAAAAAGTAAAAAAAATATTTAATTATAATTATAATAATTTAAAAAGCCCCTGCCCCTGCCCCTTACACTTTCCTTTTAATATAATTATAAAACCTTTTCAATATAATATTTTTATTAATTTTAAAAGCCCTTATTATTCCTAATTTTCTTGCTACGTGCGTCCCTTTTTAAGTTTAATAATATTAATTTTAATTAAATTTTAGGTAGTAATAATAATAATAATAGCTAGTATAATTAGTATTTAATAAATACTTTTAAAATATATAATAAAAACATAGGTATTAATTTAGTAAGTTATTTTTACTTTAATAATTATTAACTAATAGCGCTCCGCTAGCGCTCCGCTAGCGCTTTATTAAATATATTAACTTTTAATATAAAAATAACTATTTTATTACTTAATTATAACCCCTGTGCCTGCTAGCTTGCCTTTCTTTACTTTATTTTACGTGGTATTAGCTATTATTATTATTAATACCTTTATTATAGGTTTTATACTACTGCCTTTACCTTCTCGCGCTTTTTTTTAGCCTTTAGCCTTTTTTTTATAAGTATACCTTATTTTTAACTAATTTACTAGTAAAATAGCTTTAGTATAAATATTAATTAATAAAAAATAGGTTTACTTATAATACATAAAATATATTTAGGTATATAAAAATAATAAATTAATTAATAGCCCTAACTAATATATTTATTTAGCTATTAAGTATAATTACTTTTATTATATTATTAATAAGGGCCCCTGTTTTTTTTACCATTTTATATAAAAATAAATATTATATTCTTATAATAAATAAATCTTATTAACCTTAATAAATATATTTATTATTAAAATATATTTATATATTAAGTTAATTTAGTAATTAAGGCTTATAAGAAAAATTAATATTAAGGTCCAGGCCATGTTAGTATTAATTTTAATTATTAAAAAACTTATATAAAATTTTTAGCTTACTTTTAAATAACCCCTGGCTTATTTTAATAATAGCTAGGATACTTATTAGTTTTTTAATATTTTTTTTTAAAAAAACAAGCCTATTACACCTTTTAAAAAAATACTAGGTATAAAAAAATACCTGTAAAGGCCCCTGCTCCTACTTTTAATATTAAATAATAGTTTTTTATTATAGCTTTTACTACTTAGTTAGTTATTATTTTTTTTTAAAAAAAAGCCTTTTTTTAATACTTTAACTTTAATATAAATATAGTTCTTTACTTTAAATTATAATTTAAAATAAATTTTAATATTAAGCTGGCAGCGGTCCGGCTATAGTTTATTAAATTTTAAAACCT